CAGGATAAGCGGTTGGCATCCCATTGTTCCAACTCGACCTTCCACTCCATGGTTAGGCGTCGGTGGAGAGAGATTTTGGAAAAGCTTTTCAAAGGGTTGGGGAACATCCCCATGTGACTAGAGGCGTAGAAATGCATGATACCCCACACGAATAGTAGTGAAGAGCAACATCTGAGTGTTCTCCCTTGCTTTTGGTGATAGAATTCGACCGAAAGCAAGGTGTCAGCAAGAAGTGCAGGCAAGAGACTCTTCGAGTGCACGTCCCAGGCGAAGAAGGCGTCCATGACGGCTTGATCCACTGTGTCGAGGTGAAAGGGAAACAACATAGTCCCAAACATGATCAGAGCCAGGGTTTTGTTAAAAGCGAACCAGTCTGCCCTTTCAGCCAAAGAGGACAGATGGTCTTCTAACATTGCGACTTTCCAACCCTGGATGTTCCCTTTTGCTATCAGGGCAATCTGCTAGGATGACAATTGGATGATGGCAGCGACTTGCGCTACAGGAGTATATGCCTCATGGCGAATATGGACCCTGGCTGACTTGGGTCATCTTAACATAATCTCATACTCCTCTAAAGTGGGCACCATATCAAACTACAAAAACTCAAAACAGTGCAAACTGGAGTTCCAAAAATGGACCAGAATCCTGAAGAAAATAGGGTCGACACAGATCTTCAATAGGTCGAGAATCTGGTGGCATCAACGTGCAGAGCCGTTCTATCTTCTCCACATGGTATCGGGAAATATCCACTTTCTTCAACTGTCTACTAGCCCCCTCCATTTTCTAAAAACAAAAATGCATGCTATGAATATGATGTTAATGCAGGTATGCATGCAAGTGTTTTATTTTTCCTAAACATTATCATGTTTTATTTTCTACATGATGCATGATAGTGTTTGATTTTGTTGTATTTTTTCAAAACGAAGATAAACTATCTATATGGATGTTTATGAGTTTAATGTTTATGAACAAGGTCCTTTTTTTTTATTTATTTGTTTTATTTGGTTTTATTTTACAACCTTTTATCTTTTTTGTCGGACTGCGTGACTACTTAGCTTACAAAGAACCTGAAACCAGGCTAGCTAAAAGGCAAATTGTCCGAGATAAAAATGGTTTATTGCAAAAGAATAATTTTAACATCCCTTATTTCTTCTGTCGGACTGCGTGGCTACTTAGCTTACAAAGAACCTGAAACCAGGCTAGCTAAAAGGCAGACTGTCTGAAATAAAAATGGTTTATTGCAAAAGAATAATTTTAACGTCTCTTATCTCTTCTGTCGGACTGCGTGACTACTTAGCTTACAAAGAACCTGAAACCAGACTAGCTAAAAGACAGACTATCCAAGATAAGAGTTTTTATTGTGAAAATATTTTTTTGAGATTTTTCTATTTTTATTTGTTGTATGTTTATGCTATGCAACAATCAAATGCAGCAAGCAGATGCACATACAATTCACTCATCTGCGAACAAGTAGGACGACGCTTTTAATCACGAGGTAGGGGTATCCTATAGAAGAGTGCATATTCAGGGTAGTTCTAAATTTCCTCACCAAGGCCAGACCCCCAAGGTGTCCCCATTATAGGGTCCCCACTCTCCAGCCTTCCGACCATGCATGGCACTAAGGCCTTAGTCAGTCTTTGGGCCAAGAAAGGAAGGTTATCACCTTGAGTGGTAGTTTTCAACCATACCGGTGGGCTCATGACCTTCACTACGGCAAATCGTACCTGCCACCCACTCCTTATGGATATTCCACTTGCCCCCGGGTATAGGGGGAACTGTTGTGTGCAAGGGTTTGTGTGCAGTTTGCATTTCAAACAATTGCATAATAAACAAACAACAATTATTAAATCAAAGCAATTAAAACATGTTATAAAGCAAGGAAGGGTAAAGACGCAATTTTAAGTTTTTATTTCCTAAAACTAGTCCTTCACTAAATGGGATCAACTCTCTAGCTTCCCCAGTGGAGTCGCCATCTGTCGCTGCCATCAAAAGAGGTGGTCGGAGCGACGTGATGGTTTCGTTCGACTTGTTTTTTTTTTTTTTTTCTAAAAGTGATGTTGCAACGCCTTTAGGTTATCCGATAACCAGACTGGACCTAAAGGCGAGGTTTTCGAAAGGTTCGAGGAGTCGCCACCAATGTTTTTATCAGAAACATTGGAAAAGGAAGAAAAAATAAGGCATTGGTTTAAAAAAACCAACTTTGGCCTTTACAACCAGAGCCGGGTAAGGGAGTTAGTTACGTGTAGGGAAGGTATTAGCTTCCCTACAACGCTCATTTCGGGTTCCGTATGATGGACTATTTATATGAAGAAATAAAAACTATAAATTGCGCTTTTACCCTTATTTATTTATTGCGAAAATTAAAATATTGACTATATGACCCTAAATTATTAATGCACAACAATACTATCTAAGTAAGCAATAAAATAGGGGAGAAAGTGTGTAGGAACCTTCGAAGCAAGCTTTTTATATAAATTCTTTGAAAATAGGGTGCTTTTTGGCAATCCCCTGTTCTATAATGTTGATCGCTCTTCCTCACAACACGACAAAATGTTCTCTAAGAATACTAAGAAACTCTAGAAATGTCTCAAGGGATCCTAGGAGAATAATTCGAAGAAATTGTAGAAGGGGAGGTGGAAGAATGTTGTGTAAAGGATGATGACGTCCCTCCCTTTTATAGAAATTCGCACCTGTCAGGTTGGGATCGTCGTCTCGCCAAACGGGACGGTGGTCTCGCCTTCGGCAAGTGGCGAGACGGCGGTCTCGCCCTTAGTCGATGGCGAGACGGCGGTCTCGCCAAACGAGATGACGATCTTGACCCTTTAGGTGAAATTTCTTATTTTCCGTATACAAAAGTCATTTCTATTTTAATATGAGACCTATTGATGAATCCTAGGGATCTTTTAGGCCTTATCCATCTTTGAACAGAAGTCTTTTTCTCTTTATTTTGAGGCTGAACATGATTTGAGGTCTACAATAAAAAAATCCATAAAAAATATATTTATATTTACAAATTTTTAACATCAACGAATTTGGACAGTAAATAATATTTTTTTAAATATATATTAAAGAAATATAATCAATATTTTATGTTATTTTAATAACATTCCTAAGTATTACGTTACATTTACCCAATAAACATGCTAGTAATTTGATTTTTCACAACATTTATAATAAATTTAGATATTTTTAAGTTTTTGATATATTTTTTAATTTTGTATTTGGTCTCAATTTTTTTTCCTTGACGAAAAATAGTTTTTTTAGTTCCCACCTTTTACCTCTACTTCTATTATATGATTTTTGACGTCACTGGTAAAGTTGAAAAAGTTATCTACGTGTTGTATATTTTATTTTTTTAAGTAATTATTAGAACATTTGAAAATGTAAAATAAGTTTTTTGGAATATGTGAATATAAATAGTGTTATTTTATTTTTTATTTAAAGTATTTCCATAACAAATGTGAGTATTTTCTTTCACAGTTACAACTTGATACTATGATTTGTATTTTAATGAACACGTTAACACTCGTTGATGGAAAGAAATGGTAAGAAGTAAAAATGTTTTTTTTTTAAAAGACAAAATAAATGAAAAGATATATGACATATTAAATGTAAAATTGAAAAATAAATACTTTTTTTTTATATTCAAACCTTATAAAAATAAAAGATAAAAGACATGGCTAACTTCATATATTTTCATTTTTCATTCGACAGGTTTTTACATTTTTTTTTCAGTTTTAGTAAAATATTGTTTCTAAGATTTATGTTTTTCATACATCAGCTAAACTTTAATCAATGTAAGTGTATCATGTTTTGGTTCATATATGGTCTTAATACATTCTTTTAGTTATTACTACATGAAGTAATGATGTGATATTATATTTAATAAAATTTTATAACTTTTAGTGATAATTATTTCTCTGACCTAGTTTATCTTTTGTAAATTATTTGATAAAAATATTTATTAAAATTAAAATAATTTCTAAAACTAAAAATGAATAGAAATTACTATATCTCTTATTTGAATTCATTATTTTTAAGTCTAATATACGGCGGGAAGAATCTTCTTGGGATTCCAAAAATTTTATATATTTATAACTTTAATTTTTATTTATTTATTTATTTATTATAAATATTAAAATAAATTATTAAATATATTAAATAAGAGAATATTTTTTATTATTTATTAATGATGTTATTTGACTTTTAATAGGTCAAAATTTGTCATTATATTTAAAATTATCAAATGTTTATTTATTATTTAACATATATTAATTTGAGGGATACATTTTATATTATTTTCTTGGATGATATTTGTATTTGTAGCTTTTATGAAAATATATTTTATCCAATTTTCTTGGAAATTTTCACCATTGACAGTAATACAAGATGACCATATTATTGGATCTTTAAAGGGAAGATTTATTGGAGAGAACAACACTAATGAGATATGAGCTCAACCCATGTAAGGTATACACACCACTCTAAACCCAAAATCTTAAGACATTAGATTATAAGTCATAAGACATTGGATTATGAGTCATATTTCCTTATATGAACTTAGACTCATACTTAAGTTTCCTAATAATCCTCCCCTCAAGTGTGAATTCTTTGACATTATGTACACCTCGAGTTTACTAGTAACTCTTTCATGTACTGTATATGTTGTTCAACTTTTTTATTTTTACACAATGTAGAACTTAAACTCAAGTTTAAATTATGGGTCATACTTCCTTATATATTGTTCAAATTTTTCATTTTTAATACTTAGACTCTCACTTGTATTTCCTAAATACTAATATATATATCTAAATATATAACTTCCATGGCAAGTGTTTCCATTTCTCATTTCTTTCTCATTTCTCATTGTAGTAGTATGGAAAAAATGAGACAAATGGTCACCATCCATCACAATGAATAAATATAAAAGAAGGATATACCTAAATATAAGCTATTATATTATCTACTAGGTGGTGAAAGTTATCTCATAAAATTTTCTTCTAGAAAGAACAATCCATTTTGATAGAATATAGATCTGTGTCAGACATAAATGCTGAAGTCTCACCCATAGAGATGCTCTCTTCTTGAGTCTCATGAGTCTTATTTTTTTGTCTCGTATGGTAATATTGTTGCATCTCCAACTTCTTTCCATCCAATTCTTCACTTGTATCTGACACCACCTCTTGAATAACAATTTTGCCTTCAAGCATGCATACAACTGAAGCCATGGTGGGTCTGTGCATTGGAGAAACTTGTGTGCATAATAGAGCCACATTAATCATCACTTCTACTTCATTTCTTTTGAAATCCTTACCCAACCTCTCATCAACTAGGTCCATTAGATTACCTTGTTCTTTCAATAGATGCACCTGGAAAAACAAAACAGAAACAACTTGGTTTTTATGGTTGTTTTGTTCTTCAAATGTTGCACTACATTAATATTCAAATACATTTTCTTAGTACAATCAAATGGGCATGGAAGTTGGAGATGATGAGAGTAAAAGTTACCCAATCAACAAGAGAGAAACATTCTCCCTTTGGCCAGTTCATGGAGTTACTCTTTCCACTAACAATTTCCAAAGCTACAATACCAAAACTATAAACATCTGCTTTGTCAGTTAAATAACCATGCATTGCATATTCAGGGGCCATGTATCCACTGCAGTGTTGAAAATTCAGACATTAACAGTTGAGAATACAACTTTTTAAAGTCAAAATAAGTTGGCTAAACAAATGATAAATATATGTAATCTTAAATATGAAATGATAACTATTGCTAAACAAGATCCATAAAAACATAGTAATATGTAATAACTCACTAGGTGCCAGCTACTCTGGTAGTTATGTGTGTATAGCCATCTTCATCAAGTTTGGCCAAACCAAAATCAGATATCTTTGGGTTGAGATTTTTGTCTAGTAACACATTAGTGGCCTTTATGTCCCTGTGAACTATCTTTAGCCTTGACTCTCCGTGGAGGTAAGCCAAACCTCTAGCAATACCAGCACAAATCCTTTGTCTGGTTGACCAATCCAACTTCAATTGAATTTTTTCTTGTGCTTCATTTGCATTTGTCACAATGTTATTTACACATGTTATGCCTACGAATTCGTAGATTACTAATAGAGAGTTACCAAACTTAACACAGATAAAAGAAATTTACCAAACAAAGCGCGAGCAAGACTGTTGTTTTCCATGTATTCGTATATCAACATCAACTGATCTCCCTCCATACAACAACCATAAAGTTTAACTAGACAAGGGTGTTGCAAAGCAGAAATCATGCCAATCTCGTTTATAAACTCACGATTCCCTTGTTTTGATTTAGAAGAAAGTTGTTTAACTGCTATTACTGTGCCATCTGAAAGAACACCCTGCATTTTCGGACTTGATATTATATGTATCGCTTTATTTTTTGGAAGTTTAAAAGAAGTATCAACAACAATACATCTTTCAACGATAGTAATATAAAAAATGTTTAGTATCCAGAATACCTTGTAAACAGGACCAAAACCTCCTTCTCCAATCTTGAAGGTGATATCAAAGTTATTGGTCGCAGCTTTGATTTGTCGTAAGCTAAATAAGCCCGTTTTCAGATCTAAACCCATTAATTCTGTTGATTTACAACAGAAAAAGAAAATATCATAAATATCCTTTTTTTTTATTCTCTCCACAATGTTATGTTTGAAAATAAAAATGTAATAACATAATTAAAACCATAATTCATATTACACAGTTGTTGGGAATAAGAATATAAAGAATTTATATGATCCTGAACTACGTCCATGATTAAATTTATAATTACATAAATATTTATAATAAAAAAATAAATAAATAGATCAAATCCAATAATTCTTTAGACTATATCTACTTAACGTAAGTTAAGCAAGCAAAGGTATTCATGAGTTGGAGAAAATCTTGCTAAAAGAGTGAAATTTATGTCACAGTAGTTAGACTTACGAAGTTTAAATAGGCTAAGAACTAATTTGAGTTTACGCAAAACCTTCATAGTTAGTGTCATTCAATAATTTTATATTTTAGGCACAAGGTAAACATCAATTTGTTGTCCTTAAATTAATACCCGAGTCAATGATAAATACATCAAAATGGTAATTTAGTGTCAAACTTAAATTTTTTATTCTCTCTTTTAGAATGCTAATTTGATGTCAAAATATGAATGATCAAGTTTATGTATTTTTTATTGAAGGACTAAATTAAGAATGTTCATATATTTAGAAGAAAGTGTTCATATATTTTTTTTATCATGCAATTTGTTTTCATCAAAATACATTCTTTTGAAGCATTACTTTAAGATTCTCAAGATACCAACAGTAAATCTACTATAGCATTTAAAAGGGATTTTCAAACTTTGATTGATCATGTTCACCCCTCACTTCTAAATCTATATCATTAGTGCAAGAATCTGCTTGAAAGTTTTAGCACAACCAGATAACTTATAATAATAGCTATTGTAGTCTCTTAGTCCATACCTTTCTCTAATGACATTTTTCGTCTTAAACATCCTCTCCACCAAGCTATACCAAATATTATGATGATAACAAGTGCTCCAGTAACTACAATTGCGACAATGAAATGTCTAGGTACACCATCTTTATTTTCCTCTTGGGGTGTAAAATCTGCTTCATTATGACAGAATAGATTTATAGATATATTAGATCAGATGAGATTATGGCAGAAGAAAATAACAGTAGAGAAGTAGCACTACCAGGTTCAACAGATATAGCTGATACAAGAGGGCCATGAACTGATCCAAATGGGATACCAGTTGTTCCTTTCCCAGCCCACTGCAAGCGAATCTCTAAGGTACTGCTATTCACTGTAGCAGTGAACTTTTTTATGATTGCTTTACCAACTCCTCCTGCTTCATTTGCAATATTGAAATCCTTCAGCACCAACTTTCTCTGCAATACTTCAATCCAAACTCAGATGGTTCATGATGGTTTATGACTATCAAAAGGAAAAGTTGTTCAATATTAAACTTGTGGTGGACAATGGTAAAATGATGAAACCATGCACCTGAACATAGATGTCAAATACACGCCTTCCAAGGCTGCTATATGTTTGATCATCAGTGAACATTATTTCTGCGAAATGAAGACTTATTGTGTAGCTTCCATTTCCCATGCAAAATGCATAATATGTTAGAGAAAGGGCAGAAACACGTGCATCCATATACAATTCGCCATTGTTCATATCAAGCTCAGTTGTATTAGACCAAGTATAGTAGTCTACACGACCACTATCAAAGAAATGACCAGTGTTGCTAAACACCCAATTTGATCCAGCTCGATGAAATCTTGCTGGTCCAGCTTCTTGTGAATCATCATCATATTTTATGTTTCCATCAGAAATTGACTTCCCACCACAATTTATATATAGAGAGTACCAAGCTGGGACAAAAAACGGTGAAAAACCAATGTAAGGAATCAAGCATAAGAAGATTATGTTAGAAGAAAAATATATAAAGCAAATTCTACTTTTTCATACTTATGTTTCTAAAACTCAAATTTTGTTTCATCTTATATTTTAAGGGGAATCAGTCTAATTATATATATATATATATATATATATATATATATATATATATATATATATCAACTTACTGTAACATATTAACATAACATGATGCTAATAATAAAACATCAGCAAAATATTAACGTTAGAAACTTATAACATATCAACTTACTTTTAGGACAGTTAATGTTCCCTAAACATGGAATCATTCCCCTGAGAAAATAATAGAGTAAGCATGCTAAGTCAGTGTTATCATACAATAAGTATAATAAGCTATACTCACAGATAAGATTACTTTAGCATGATTAATATAAATCTTACGAGTCATTTCCCTTCATAGATGATGCAAACAAGTTCCTAAGGCACATAGTAAATGTCCAAGGCTTAGATAGTATCTAAATTCCCAAAATAGAAAAAAGATGCAAAGGAAAAGATTCTTACACGCTTCCCTGTTGACAGGTCAATTGCTCTGGGTTTTCGATGTTCAAATGGTTATATGAGAGATCACTGTGTCAATTTATGCATTGATCAATTCAGAACCAAAATGTAACACTTGGTGGCACAGAAGAATCCGAAGAATATTGGTCTACTAATTTTCCAGGTAGAAGACATAATTTGGATTAACAAATCATATAAACTGCACTTCAAGTTACTTACGTGTAGTCTGGCCTATCTATCCAATTGGGTAGTGGTCCATTGAAAAGGTTTCCAGTTAAATATCTACGTAAAAACAGTAAAAAATGAAGTCAATTTATAGAACTGATAAATTGCTATGAACTATCAACATGATGATTACTAATAAACTATAAATATACAAAGTTCTTACCAATTGCAAAAAAAAGTAAAACTTATTTTGCGTTTACTAGAATCAAACTATTGCCTTTGTTTTAGATGTGTAGTTAGTTGGTCATTATAGTTTAGACCTAAAGTTCAAACATGGATTATACAAGTTTGTTAAAAATTGACACAAACTTATAGAATTATGTAGAAAACATATGTGTATACTAGTTACTAGTAGAAGTTACAACATGATTCTAGAAAAAGAGAAGAAGAAGAAGTAGAAATGTGTAGAAATAGAATAGTGTAGAAAAAATGAAGTTAGTAAAAAATTCTAGAATCTTGTAAGTAAAACCTATAAATAGGCATGAATGGAGTCTTTGTATGTGTGGTGGAAAAACTAATACAAACTCCTATATATCTTGTAGCACTTCCAAGATCAATTACTATTTTTCCTTATACAAATCTTCTCCTATTTACCTACCTCATTCTAAAAAAACTATTTTTTACACAAATCTCACTACTAAACATCAAATCATCTTTTCTATCATTCCTAAAATACTAACAGTGGTATCAGAACTACGTTCGGTCACCTATTGGCCGTAGAGAAAAAATTTCGACTATCTTAAAAAACCCAATCTCACTACACATTACTTCCAAAAGAAAAATTCCAACCTATGACCACTACCAACCAAACATCATCCATTCTAGTCCCTATTTTCAAGGGAGAAAATTATGATTATTGGAGAGTCAAAATGAGGACATTTTTTTGTTCTCAAGATCTTTGAGACATCATAGAAGATGAGTTCACTATTTTAGAAGACATCTCAACTCTTACAGCTGCCTAGAGGAAGGAGCTGAAGGAAAACAAACAGAAAGATTCAAAGCCATTATTCACTCTTCAGCAAGCAGTTGATGACACTATTTTTCCAAGAATAATGGGTGCCACAAGTGCAAAGGAAGCTTGAAATACAATACAAGAGGAGTTTCAAGTAAGCGATGATGTATGCAATATTAAACTCCATTCACTAAGAAGAGAATTTGAGTTAATAAGAATGAATGAATCTGAAACCATAAAAGACTATTATTCTAGAATAAAAGAAATAGTTAGTTAGATGAGAGCATATGGGGAAAATATTCTTGATAAGAAAATTGTTGAGAAAATTCTAATTTTTATTCCCCAAAAATATGATACAATTGCAACTGCAATTGAACAAAAAAAAGAGTTATATAAATTATCGGTGACACAACTAATAGACTCTCTTGAAGCATATGAACAAAGATTGAAAAGGTGTGAAGAAGAATCAGTCGAAAATGCGTTTCAATCAAAACTAAAATTATGATCTCAGAATGGAGGAAATAAAATTAATAGAGAACTTTCTAGGAATAAGGAAAACTCTAGAAATTTTTCCAAGACTCTTCAAGGAAAAGATCCTTCATGTGGCACTTGCAAAAAGACAAGTCACTTGGAAAAATATTGTTAGCATCGAGGAAAACCTCAATGTCAATACTATAAGAAATTTGGACATGTGGAGAAAATGTGTCGCAACAAAAATCATCAACAAGAAAATTTTTCTCAAGAACGGGATAGAGAACAACATCTCTTCTATGCTATGGGATGTTTTGATAATGAATGAAAAGGAATATGGTACTTGGACAGTGGGTGCAGTAACCATATGGCGAATGATCTAAGCATCTTCAAAGAAATTGATAACTGCATCAAAGTTCCAGTGCGATTGGGAAATGACATCGTGATAGAGTCAAAAGGAAAAGACAGTGTTATGGTGGAGAACAAGAAATATATGAGACTTATTAATGATGTCTTACTAGTTCCCAATCTTAAAGAGAATCTCTTAAGTATTGATCAAATGATGGAGAAAGGATATACTCTCTACTTCGAAAGAGATATATGCACTATCTATGATAAGAAAAATCTAGAGATTAGCCAAGTAAAAATAGAAAAGAGAAATGCAAGTTCTCCTATAAGCTTCAATCGAGGAACTAACATTGCCATGAAAGTAGAAGTTGATAACTCGTGACTATGGTATCGTAGATTTGACCACTTCAATACTCATACCTTAAAGCTACTACATAAAAAATGCATGATGAGAGATCTATCAAGCCTTAAGGAGAGTAGCAAAGCTTGTGAAGGATGTCTTCTGGGAAAGCAACACAGATTACCATTTTCTATGAGAAAAACTTGGAGAGCAAAAGACTTGTTGGAGTTAATCCACACATATATTTGTGACCGATAAGGACTCCATCGCTTAATAACAACATATACTTCATTGTCTTCACTGATGATTTTTCTAGAATGACTTGGGTCTACTTCATTAAAGTAAAATCAGAAGTCTTTGGAATATTCAAAAAATTTAAGGCCCTTGTTGAAAAGCAAAGAGGAAAACAGATAAAGGTGCTCAGGAGCGATCGAAGAAAAGAGTACACCTCCCACAAATTTGATAAATTCTGTGAGGATGAAGATATTGAGCAATAACTTACAATTGCATATTCTTCACAACATAATGGTGTCTCAGAGAGAAAAAATTGCACTGTCATGGAGATGGCAAGATCAATGCTAAAATAGAAAGACCTACCTAACACTTTTTGGGCAAAAGAAGTCTACACTGCAGTTTACATACTAAATAGATGTCCAACTAAGGCAGTTCAAAACAAGACTCCTATTGAATCTTGGAGTGAAAGAAAATCATAAGCTAAACACCTACGAATATTTGGATCAATTTGCTACATACATGTCCCTGATCAGAGGAGGCATAAGCTTGAAGACAAAACTATAAGAGGAATATTCTTGGGATACAACCAACAATCAAAAGGCTATCGAGTATACAACCTACAAACAAAGAAACTCGTCATCAGTCGAGATGTTGAGATTGACGAAAATGCTTCTTGGAATTGGGAAGAAAAAAAAAATTGTTAGAAGCAACATCCTAGTTCTAGTACAACAACCTGAAAAAGAGACAAGAGATCCATGTACGCCTCCACAAGAAGAAGAAGAAGAAGAATATACTTCACCAGAGTCTACACCAAGACGTGTAAGATCTTTGGTAGATATATATAAAACTTGTAACATGACCATCATTGAGCCTTCCTGCTATGAAGAAGCTTCAAAGCAAGAAGTATGGGTCAAGACCATGGAAGAAGAAATCAAAATGATTGAGAAGAATAATACTTGGGAGCTTATGGACTGTCCTCAAGGAAAAGATATCACTGGAGTAAAATGGGTATATAAAACTAAGCTCAAACCTGATGGAACCCTACAAAAATATAAGGCAAGATTGGTCGCAAAAGGATACTCACAATAACCTGGAATTGACTACAATGAGACTTTTGCTCCAGTTGCTCGCCTGGATACAATTAGAGCTTTAATAGATCTTGCTGTACAAAAAGGTTGGAACATCCATCAACTGGACGTCAAATCCGCCTTTCTCAATGGAACACTTAAAGAAGAAATCTATGTTGAGCAACCACAAGGCTTCATCAACAAAGGCCACGAAGGAAAAGTACTAAGACTAAGAAAAAATCTATATGGCCTGAAACAAGCTCCTCGAGCATGGTATAACAAAATTGATAAATATTTTATTGATCAAGGATTCAGGAGGAGCAAGAGTGAACCAACACTTTATATCAAGACACAAGGTTAGTATAATCTCATTGTCTCCTTATATGTTGATGATCTCATCTATACAGGAAACAATAAGGAAATGATGAAAGAATTCAAAGAAGATATGATGAAAACATTTGAAATAACTGATCTTGACTTGATGAACTACTTCCTCAAGATAGAGGTGATACAACAAAAAGAATGAATATTTATCTCTCAGAAGAAATATACTGAAGCTCTACTAAGGATATTTAAGATGTACGGATGTAAACCTGTCACTACTCCTTTAGTGGTAAACGAAAAGCTAAAGAAAGATGATGGAGCACCAGAAGTAGATGTATCACGATACAAGAGTTTGATCGGAAGCCTTCTATATCTCACAGCTACACGGCCAGACATTATGTATGCTACAAGTCTTCTGTCAAGATTCATGCAAAAGCCAATCCAGATTCACTATGGAGCAGGAAAAAAGATTTTAAGGTATCTACAAGATACAAGAGAGTTTGGTATATGGTACAAGACCATGACCAACTCGAAGATGATTTGCTACACCGACAGTGATTGGGCAGGATCAATAGACGACATGAAGAGTACGTCAGGATACGCCTTCTCACTTGGATCGAGTTTTTTCTTATGGGCATCAAAGAAGCAAACAACTGTGGAACAATCAACAGCAGAAGCAGAATACATAGTTGCTGCTGAAACTACAAGTCAAGCAATATGGCTACGAAGAATACTTGAAGAAATGGGCAAACCACAAGATGAACCAACTACTATCTATTGCGACAACAAATCAGCAAAACAATGACGAAGAACCTGATTTATCATCAAAGAACAAAACATATAGCTATCAAATATCACTTCATCCGTGAAACTGAAACATGAAAACAAATTCAACTTCAGTACTGCTCAGCAAAAGAACAAGTAGCGGACATATTTACAAAGACACTGCCGAAAGCAAAGTTCGAACAATTGTGCAATATGCTAAGAATTAAAGAAGTTTGTATCAAGAAAGAGTGTTAAAAATTGACATAAACTTCTATGTAGAAAATATGTGTATGCTAGTTACTAGTAGAACCATGATTATAGAAAAAGAAAAGAAGAAGATGAAGAAATGTGTAAAAATAGAATAGTGTAGAAAAAATGAAGTTACTAGAAAATTCTAGAATATTGTAAGTAAAACCTATAAATAGGCATAAAGGGAGTCTTTGTATGTGTGGTGGAAAAACTAATACAAACTCAAGCATATCTTGTAGAACTTCCAAGATCAAATACTATCTTTCCTCGTATAAACCTTCTCCTATTTGTCCACCTCATTCTAAAAAAACCTATTTTTTACACAAATCTCAGTACTAAATATCAAACCATCTTTTCTATCATTCCTAAAATACTAACAAAGTTATAAAGATATGAAGGTTTTGCTGATTGACTCAAACTGTCAAATACCATTTTTATTGTCAAAATCCAACATTCATTTGATTATTTGGAATTATTGATGGTTTTTATGATGTCCGATAGGAAAGCACTTGAACTATAAAATCGCCAGTAAACTAAAGGAAATAGAAAAACTTAGTGAGACCACCTAACTATCAGCAAAATATATGAATTCATTATGGTGAAATAACAAAAATCAAATTGAAACTAAAAAATGTTGCTTACAGTATATTTATATCGTTTAGGCCACCCAAGGTTGTCGGAATCGGTCCGGTTAATTTGTTAATGCTGAGATCTCTGGGAAAGGTCCAATACAAGTATTGTACAAAAGAAAAAGAATGGTGCCAGAAAAGCAACATGGAAATGTTTAGTCCCTAAAATGCAATGAATAGAAACAGCATGTGGTTGATAATCTTCACCAGATGATGAGTATAAATAGTTTTAAATACATACAAATAATGCTACAAATGTTTGAAAGTATCATCAACCAAATGTAATTAATAGAAAGAAATTAAATATCACTTACAATGATCGTAAGCTAGTCATATTTCCAAGATATTCAGGAACCATTCCTATAAGATTGCAACTCCTCAGTACTCTAGAATTTAACAATACGTAGCAACAAAAAGGAGCATTTCATTTTTGAGACATCAACACAATGAAAATGAGAAATTATAATAATGATAATCCAAATATATATAACTCACAGTGTTTGCAAAGTTGTTAAGTTTTGAAGTTGGGGAAATTGAGAATCTGGTCCTTTCAAGTCACTAATTCTCCTGCATCACATCTTAAGCATGGTGAGGATATGTAGGTGGTAAATTAAATTTTGAAACCTTGGTTGCAACCAGAACACTAAATGAACTTACAAATCAGTGAGATTGTTCAAAAATGAAATTCCAGAAGGAATTGGCCCACTGAAACCACTCCCTTGCATCACCCTATTACAATTTAAAATAGTTCCTCTAATATACCAATAAATAAATAAATTTAAAATCATAAGAAGAAAGGTTCATACAGCCTCTCTAGACTTGTCCATCTCTGAATGAAATCAGGTAAAGTTCCAGAGAATTGGTTGTCTCCAAGTCGACTGCATTATAAGAGTGTATGCATGAAAGAAAAGTCCATTCTGATATCAAACAAAATATAGATATTGCAATTGAGAATAATAAAAATATAATAAAGGAATATCACTTACAGATGCTTTAGTGCAGTGAGGCTGGCAAATGTTGTTGGTAAATTTCCGATAAAATGGTTGGATGTAAGAAGCCTGTAAGTAATATTGAACTTTAGAATGTAATGCATGGGGATTGAGACCATTTAAAGAGTACAATGCATTAAATGTGGAAACAATTTTTGAATCAATAACGATGTAAGAACTTTGAAGAAGATAAATCGAAGGCACTGAATGTGAACACAATTTTATCACTGGAACACAAATACTATTTAATTTTTTAGAACTAAAAGTTAATCAACGAAGCAGAATCAACAAATGGCTTACAATCTTTCAAGTCGAAAGAGATTCCCAATCTCTAGAGGAAGCTCTCCAGATAATTGATTGAACTCCAGGACCCTATGAATATCAGTTTCAAGTGTAAGACAATGAGTTGCCAGAAATTTTCATAAAGTTGAGATGGAAAAATAATTGTGTGGATGATCACAAACTTACAAACTTTTCAGTGTGGTGATGTTTCCTAATTCTTTTGGTATTGGACCTGTCAGCCGATTTCCAAGAACGGAACTGAATTAAGAAACATGTATAACTAGTTAGATGTCAAATGAAATTAGTATAAGATTTTTATTTTTATTTTTTGAAAAATTTAAAAGGATTAAATATACTTTAATATCTATAAATAGAATAATGTTCAACTTTAGCCAATAAAAAAATCCTCTCCTTGTTACCTTTTAAAAATATGTGCTTATGTACATAGGGAGGAAATTATAGTAGGTCAAACTAGGTTTTGTTCATAGGTTTTATGTATATGATATAAACATGTTTTAAAGTCTAATTTGAGATCTATGATAACCTATTTAAAAATATATTTTGTAATGAGACCTTTAAATTAGACTTATATTTATGTTTCAATAAACTTAATTACAAGTTTAAGTTTATTTATTTATTCAAGTCAATATGTTTAATACTTGAGTTAATAAATAAATCTAGGATTCTAATACATTATCATAATTAGAATATAATAATAACAACAATAAATATTTACTTATATTTTTTAAAATAGGCTGGTTAGACTTTAATAATAATAATAATAATAAAAACTTCAGCTAATTTATTATGTGTATAAGTCCAACATAAATTATTATACTTCAATTTTTATTAAATTTATACCTAAAAAAATGTACTCATGTTATTGCATTATTTATTTATATAGTCACTATACATATAATACATTTTCCCTGAAAAAGAAAATTAAAAGGAGATTCTTGTTAATCCTTTATAGTTACTCAAAACATAATTAACTCATAAAGCTATATTTCTTTGGGAATCAAATATAAGTAGAACTAATTCATTTTTCAATAGTTACAAAAGTTAGTCAACATTACTTAAAAAACATTTATTAATTTTTACTTACAATTAACTTGGGGGAGAACATAAAAGAAGACCCATTTCACCAATTTTCACAATAATTGATAGTACACTGATATAGTAACAACTAACAGGAACAAAAATAGTAGGAAATGAAAGAAAGGACAAGGGAGAGAGTACATGTTGACAAGGTTGATGGAGCCCCATTGTGGAGGAATTGTGCCATTAAGGTAGTTGCGGGTGAGGTCACTGTGCCACATTTGAAGTGAAAGAATCAAACAAGTAAATAATGATGATTAGGGTTAAGACATGCAAGTTTTTGAATATAGGTTTAGAATGACTTACATTTCTTGCAGGTATTGCAATCTTGCTAGTTCACTTGGGAGTGTGCCCGAAAGATTTTGTGACTTCAGAACACTGCATCATAATCATATTTTCATCCATGATTAGAAAATAAAAAACCATATCTTAATGAAATCAAATAAAACCAAAACAGTGAGTGCCTTTAAGAGATGAGAGACTCACATGCTAACCACATGGCAGATAGTGGCATTGGCAAAGAGACAATTGCAGGTCACAGCATTTTCAAATCCCTTCACTTGAACAGATGAAGTCCAATTTCTTTCTCCACTGCATGGATCTACATTGAAATCCCAATCCTTCTTCCCAAGTCTCTTAGCTATCTCTTTCATTACTTCCACTGGTTATCAAAACCAAACACCAATTATTGTGTAAAAAACTTTTACATTCACGTTTGTTTTCTAACAATAAATTAGTTTTAACGAATGAACGCGTTACGTACCTTCATCTTCTGGTAGAGTAGCTCCCCGAGCCAAAGAAGAGATCAAAGAAAAGGCAAGAAAACAAAGATGGAAGAGTGGAGGGAAAGTCATGTTAATGATGATGACTGGAAGAAGCTCTGGATTTGAAAGCTCACAGAAGAGTAAATAAGAAATGAAGCAGCTAGAGATAGAAATATATAATGTTGATACAAGTCAATTATATACATTAAATATATGAAATACTTGATTTGCCAGCTTGTACTCTAAACAAGTGAGAAAACAGAAAAATGTTGAAAACAAAAAGTTTAAAGTTTCTTGAAACTCATGCGACGTCGCTACTTGAGTTAAATATATGAATTTCATGAAGTGTGAAGGAAGTTTCACGTTGTAAACCTTGATATGTGTGTTAATTAAGAAATTTGTCGCAATTTAGGGCAATTTTTTTTAGCAAGTTGATACTAATTATGTTGTGTCTACTTAGAAAGTGGACTTTGTTGGGTTGATTTAAATTTTAAAGTAGTAATAATTTAAGTTGGTAAACGAAGTCAATGAAGTAAGAAGTGAAAATGAAATCAAAGAGAGTCACACGGAAAGGAAAAGAAAATGGTGTTCACACTTGGAATGATACAATTTTTTATTCACTACTAGTTACAAAGATGTTTCTCGTGAAACTTATAACATTGATTTCGTAGTGATTGATATTTTTAATATTTAGTTGTTCTCAAGCTTAATGATACTTTAAGTTATCATTTAAAAAAAATAGTGAAATATTTATTTTAATTTTATAATCAATTTAACATAATAAAAATTATACTCATTTATATATTATAATATTATTATATTTTTATTTAACATAAGATAAACAAGGATTTTTCAAATTGCTTTTAAGTTCTAATCATGTATGATACAGGTCTCAACTCAATCCTACCAAATAGGGTTAAAAGTAATTTAGTTCTTATATAGTTATCATTATTTTATTAATGAACTAAAAGAATTACGATTTTTTTATTTAATTATTTTATTTATATCATAAGAAAATAAGAAAATGTTTTTTAGATTTTTTGTTTTTAAATGTTATTTTCTAAATCAGAATTTATTACAGTTATTTTTTAGGGTGTACGATGAAAAGAAGAGATTGACTAACAAACGAAGAAAAATTAGTTAATTTGAATTTTGACTCATGATTTATTTTCATTTGATTTTTATTTAATTTTGATGAATTGAAAATTGTGACGACATGAACCTTATCAGTGATGATAGCCAGCATATATTTTTATAACTCTATAAATCCTCTCAAATGAGATTCTCGTATATTTTTAAAGTAATTTGATATGAAATTCAATAAATTTACATATATAATGATTTGTAATTAAAGAATAATATAAATCTATCTGTACAAACTTCTTTGATTTGCTTTTTAAAATAGTTTTAAAAAATATTTTCTAAAGAAATAAAAAAACTTTTCTGAAACTCTTGTTTAAAAATTATTTTGAAAGAAAAAGATTATACTGTTGTTTTATATAATTTAAAAATTAAGATTAATAATAATTTATATCTACCGTCGTTTTTTAATTTACTTGTACATCTTTTAAAAATAAAACTATAATAAATAAAAATTTAAAAATAAATAATACTTCATATATAAAAATTGATTCTAATATTATCGAATATCATGAGGTTATTATTTCTTAAATAAAAAATAATCGGATAGAAGAGAATTTACAAATATTTCAAAGCACTCAAACCTCACGTGATGTAATTAATGAAAAAACACATAATTAAAATAGGAAACATGCTTAGTAATTTTGATATTTAAATAGTTTAAATAAGGTTTTAGTAACAACCAAAAAGCGTTTGTAGTCCAACGGTTAGGATAATTGCCTTCCAAGCAATAGACCCGGGTTCGACTCCCGGCAAACGCAGTTACATTTTTTCATTTTCCTTTAATTTTGAAATCCATTTTTTTTTTTAAAAGAAAAAGCTACATAATAATTTAAAGGGATAAAAATAAAAAATATATTTCATGGAAATTAAAACTGAAACTCATATAAATAAATATTTCAAATTTTATAGAAAGAAAAACTAAAGAATTGTTTTTGGAACAAAATCAATACTAGTTAATTTTATAAGAATTAAAAATAGATTTAAATAAATACAAATTAATTTTAACTTATAAAAATTGATTTGTTTAAATCATTTATAGAGAATTTTGAAAAGAGATATTTGGATTTGTCAAAATGGTACAAATTATATTTAATAACCCAAAATGGAACGTATTTACGTTGTGATTTTTTTTCCGCTTAGCATTATTTTAACATAAATTTTCATATATAGCATACTGTATTTAATATTTACATGAGTAGCACACTTTTATAAAAAGTCAAATATTTCGAGGATTTTTTTCTTCACTAACATCCTATTAAATTTATAATCCAGAAATAACATCATTCTAATAATATTTACTTGACTAGCACAATTAACATAAAAATATATTATATAATTATATTATTAATATATGTTTATAAATATAGTAAAAATATAATAAAAATATTTATATATTTCTATAAAAAAAATTATTTTTACTTATTAAAATTATTTTATATTAAAAATATATTTAAATAATATATATAATTTATTTATGTAAAATTTTTATATAGAAATATATATTTATTAAATTTTATTATATTTATAAAAATATAAATAAATATTTAAATATTATATATATATATATATATATAAAATATATTTGTTTTTACTATATTTATAAAAATATATTAATAATATAATTATATAAACAAATTTTTTTTAAAAGAATATATATATATAATATTTATATATATTTTTTATATAAAATATATATATATATATATATATTTATATTTAATTATTATATTTAATAAATATTATTTTATTTTTAAAATTATATTAATTAGTGAGGTTGACATTCGGCCTCTTAAGAATCGAATTTCAACTGTGTAAGAAAATTGTGCTAATCAAGTAAATATTATTAGAATGATGTTATTTCTGGATTATAAATCTAATAGGATGTTAGTGAAGAAAAAAATTTCAAAATGTTTGATTTTTTTATAAAAGTGTACTACTCATGTAAATATTAAATACAATATGCTATATATGAAAATTTATGTTTAAATAATGCTAAGCGGGAAAGAAAATCTCACCTTGTAGCATGAAATAATATATTTTAGTTATTTTTAAAAATTAAGCCAACGTTTTTTTTATACATTACATTAATCTCTCTTAATAATCTAAAAGATATTACATCAATAATAAAATACATGTAATTTTTGAAATAATTAAAGAGAATTTAATGTAATATATAAAAAGTGTTAGTTTATTTTTTTTAATTAATTTAGAGTTATTAGTTTTGATTGGTATAAGAGACAATGATTTTTTATCAGTTATAAATTTTGAGACTGATTTGTATTTTTTACATATTAATAAACTTAATAATATTTTTAGTTTAGTAAGAGACTAAATTTTCACCTATTTACTTAAGAACCAAAAATTTCCATTTATCCAAATTGAGCAGAAAGTCTTAACTCCAATATTAATTTGACAATCTCTCTCTTTCTCAAAGAAGAAAATATTCCAGCAGGAGAATGTTTTAGGTTAGGTGTCCTACGTGATTGGTGCTTTGTATGGGCCGAATTTTCAGCCCGTGTAATTGGTGATGGGCTTGGCTCATCCACTTTGTACAGACTATTATGTAATGATACACCTTAATTTTTTCCCGTAAGCATGTAAAATGATATAAATATCCTTGTATGATCTGATATACATTTTCCTTTTCTGTGAGCAGCACCTCCATATCTTGCATCTCCTAAAGTGTTTTTTTTTTTTCATTTTTAAGTTAGAAATTCCTTAATTGTTTATATTTGAAATCATATAATTGGTCATTCAAAAATTCTCTGCATAAATGTATTTGATGTATATGTGTTGTTCCAGAATGTGGAATATGGAATATAATGATTAGTTTCGATTTAATTATCTATTATTTTTTTATACAATGTTCCTTTCATTATTTTCAACTTTCAAATTAGGACTTTGTTATTTCATAACTAATTTTAAGATTTAATTATTATTTTAAATTAATAAATGCTTAAAAAATAAATAATGATAATGAAAAATAAGTTTTTAATTTTTATTTTGATATTAAATGGATGTATTTTTTTTATAATTTATATATTAAATCATTATACCTTAAATAAAAATTATTTCTATTAATATTTAAATTTTAAAAATATATTTTTATTTATTTATTTTTTAATTAATTGATTTGATATAGATATGTTAATATTTTTTTCAAATTTCAATCGGGTCAAAATTGATTCGATAACTCTGTTAGCTTAACATAAGATTAGATTAGGCTAAAAATATTAATCCATTTTAAGATATAGGTCGGGTTGATCTGCCCATTTTGACAGTTCAAATTTCATTATATGTGTTAGACACACTTGTGGATGTTAGCTATGACATAACATATAAGGGATTACTATTTCTTTGTTGTTGAGAGGTGATATAGTGAGACTAAAAACTTTTGTCTACCCATAGGTGAGATGACTATCATACTTAAATGATGTTTCCTCATTATTGTACTTGTTTACTATGGGTCAACTTTATACTTATATTCACTTGGACGCATGAGAAGCGGCAAAGGTGTTGGTAGAGCACTTAAGAATTGATATTGCATTGATTTCTTAACAGTAAATAATATTAAATAAGAGAATGGATGAAAGAGTGAAAATAATAAATTGATGCAGAATAATAAAAATTAAAATCAAATTACTATAGAATATTAAGGACAATTAAAATTAAATTGAAGCGAGAATTTAAATAAGCTGAAATTTATGAAATTAAAATAAAGTATTTTTAATTAGAAGTGCAAGAAT